GGTGTCAACATAATGGATCTGGGGTGAAAAGAGAAGATGATTTACTTCTTTCACTTTCCATTAGGAATGATTAATCTACTTCCTTTTTCTTTATTATTTTTTTCTGATATCTTTTATGCATGAGAACACTCCCTTGATTCAGAATTTATTTCTTTCAGGATGCACCTACCTAAGTGAAGAATGTGTGGGAAGAATTTTATCAACACTTTATTTTAATCAGTTATAGGTGTTGCTCTTGAATAATGGCTAAAAGTTGAGTTTCCAGAGCACTCCCAGACTAGTCTCCACCAAAAATGCCTAATAGTATGACTTCAGAGTTCTCTCCCACGTATGTTATCAACAACAAAGATGTGAATCCCATTTATATCACTTATGCTATGTGCAAATAGAAAGCATCCAAAGAATGAAACGTACAAAGAAAAGCAGTCCAATGGGGAGAACAGCCAATCAAATGACATTTATAAAGTGCTGAAATTAAATAAACAAAAAAACTCAACTCCCAACTGAAAATACTATACCCAGTACAAATATCCTTCAAAAATCATGAACTAAAGTTATCCTAGTTAGAAACACAGAATTGCAGAAAGAGATGAAGAGTACTTGAAAAAGCAAGTACGTAGGAAATATAAAATAATATTGTTTGTTAAAACAACAACAATAATGTTTTCTGTGTTTTATTGTTATGTGTATGTAGAAACACATGACAGTAACACAAAGAGCAAATAGAATTGAAATGTTGTAAAATTTTTGCATTGCTCCTTAAATAGTAAATGTACTAACTTAATGTAGATTGTAATATGTCAAGAATGAATAGGTTCTGGCTAGGTAGATCAGTTTGTTAGAGCATTGTCTCAATGTACTAAGGTTGTGAGTTTGATCCCAGTCAGGGAACATACAAAAAGCAACCAATGAATGCATAAATAAGTGGAACAACAAGTCAGTGTTTCTCTCTGTTTCTCTCTGTCCCCTTCTCTCCCCCCTTCTTCTCTCTCAAACCAATAAATAAAAAAGAATACACAGAATGAGACAAATAGACAATAAAGAACAAAATGGTAGACCTAAGCCCAACTGTGTCAGTAAAAACATTACTATAAATGGACTAAACTCTCTAAAAGACAATTGTCAAGCTAAATAGAAAAACAAAATAAAGGCAAAAGTGTTAATAGAGTGATATGGGGCATTTCATGTTAAAAGTATCAAAGTATCAATTCAACAGGAAGATATAACTCTAAATTTGTATATATCTAATAACAGCTCTGAAGTATATCAAGCAAAGATTAATAGCACTAAAAAGAGAAAGAGACAAATCCACTTTCATTGGTAGAGATGTTCACATACCTCTCTCAGTAACTGGTAGAACAAACTGACTACAAATCAGAAAGGATGTTAATGATTTATACAATATGATTACCCAACTCAACCTAATTGGCATGTATAGAACACTACACTCAATAATTGCTCAATACACTTTCTTTCCAAGTGTACATGGAACATATTGTATTATAAATCTGGAAAAAAATAACTGCAGACTTTTAATATTTTTTTAATATGTTTATTGATTTTTAGAGAGAGAGGAAGGGAGCGGGGAGAGAAAGAGAAATATCAGTTGGCTGCCTCCACGCCCCCTACCGGAGATCAAGCCCAAAACCTGGGCATGTGCCCTGACCGGAAATCAAAACAGCAACTTTCGGTTCACAGGACGACGCCCAACCAACTGAGCCACATTGGCCAGGGCTATATTGTTTATTTTTAATTTAAACTATATCTGAAACTAAGAAACACAGGGAAATCCTCACAATTCTTCTGTAGGAATACTATTTTGAGTAAGAAACACTGGAATGATGCCATGATTTTCTAGTTCATTTTTCTTCAACAAAGTATTAGGTGACAGGCATACATAGAATGTCTGTCTCTGTCTCTTTTAACATGGATCAGGTTTCCAGATAATCTGGGATTGGGTTTAATAAACCTGCCTGATCATAAGAATCACCTGTGAAGATTTTTAAAAACAGGTTCCTAGGTCCCACCTCCCAGTGATTCTGTATTTTGAAAGGGCAACTGGGCTGATTCCAAAGTATTTGAACAGATTTTGGAGTCACTAAAATAATGTTCTGTTTGTCATATGGAGAGGAGGGAATGGAGGGGGAAGAATATGAGAATATAAGAATATGAATGAATACATTTGGGCTAATATCTAGGTCAGGGCTGGGTGTGGCTGAACTCCACTGCATGAGGCAAGAGGCATATCCACTTCTAAAAGTTTTATAAACATGAAAATGAAACACATTTGCATTAAGCATCAAAGAAAAAACTGCTCTTTTTGCTGACCGCATTCAGTGAGTTTCTTCACATAAAAAAAAGGAGGGCTCTTAGCAATAGATGTGATAGCGGACATGTCCATTTTTTGTTGTAATTTGGTATTTTCCGCACATGCTGTACTTTTTTATATAAACAGAACTTGTTTTTAGTTCCTATGCTAGCGGGCATTGATATATTTGAAAGGATATCATGATTTTGTTATTTTGAATATGTAAGAGAAAGGGGACACAAATATATTCAATATAATGAATTAAAGGGGATTGAACTAAGTTCTACTTTAGAAAATGATTAGATATCTGAGAAGATAGTTGGAAGCATGCTAGGTTGTCTGTATTACACTTAAGGACTTTACAGACGGACTTCTCTGTGAAGATGTTACCATCTAACATTCATAAAGGTTTAGTGGCTTTTTTTCTTTGTAAAGGTATCACATACTACTAATAACCTGTTTTTTCATATTGTTATTCTGTGGTTTTGTTTTGGGTTTTTTGTTGTTGTTGTTTTTAAAATCTACCCCATTACTCTAGCCCTGCCGGGCGTGGCTCAGTGATTGAGCATCGACCTAGGATCCAGGCAATCGGGGTTCGATTCCTGGTTAGGGCACATGCCCAGGTTGTGGGTTCAGTCAATGACTCTCTCATCATTGATGTTTCTATCTCTCTCTCCCTCTCCTTTCCACTCTCTGAAATCAATAAAGATATATTTTAAAAAATAAATTAATTAAAATAAAATAAAATCTACCCCATTACTCTTAACCAAACAAGCATTTTCTTATGTGTCTTTTAGAATGGAGTGAAGTTTACTCAGTGGATGGGTTAGCAGGACATTTAAAGTTTTAGTCCTTTCTTGCCTCTTCAAGTAAGGCTACCATTTGAGAATGAGCAGCTTATGTTACTCAGCTCCATTTCTGAAAAGGTTATTAACATATGCTAAATATTATGATATTATGAATGCTCTGAAATGTCTTGAGGTCTGATTGATATTCCATAATTGGAAGAATACTGTCTTAGTTAAAGAACTAACTCTTAAAAGCAATTCCATGTGTTCACTCTTGGGGGTTCATCCCAGGATACCACTGAGGGACAATTGTTATGACAGGAGTTATTCTAATGTCTCTGGCAACTACATTTTTTAAAATATGGTCCACTGTTACATTCAGATTCATTGCATTTCATGTAAGGAATTAAAGTAGTTGAGACCCAGGATGTCCTTCATTAAATTATGCATCTAGGAAGAAAAGAGTCACTGTCCTCTGTCCTCTTGATCTGCTATACTTCAGTAACCAGGACCCTATTTAGCCCTAAGTCATCTGGATACATCAAAGTAATGCATCAGCAGTCATTGCTACAGTTACTCTGATAATTACAATTGTGTAAATCTGACCTTCATCAATGAACTTCCCTAGACTCACATCTATCAATTGGAAAAATAATGATTTTTATAGTGTTTCCAAAAAAAATTAATGTGTGTTGTGTATTTTCTCTTATGAAAATACGTCTACAGTATTAAGGAAGATTATTTAGTAAATATATCCTTTTATACCATCCAAAAAAGTGTCATTTACTCCAGATGTGAAATTGTTTACAATAAACATGTTAACTTATTATATGTGATAATACAGTATGTGGTCCTTGATATATTTCTATAAAGGTTCCACTTTAATTTCAGGACTGTTACTCCACATGACTCTTTTTTTTTCTTCTCCTCTAGACTTCTCCAGAGAACCCTGGGACAGTAGGTGGAGTGCAAAACTATATTGTGTTGCCTTCCTGCTTTTTTTTTGTTGCCTTCCTGCTTTTTAAAATTAGTATTCTTGGCCCAGTCTTGGCTGCTCCTTTCTCTGCCACTAAAGCTACCTAACTAAACCCTGCATGCATAGTCATTATGAAGGACTTATTCATGGTCTTTCATTTCAATCCTGCACATTTATCATGTCAGTTATGTTTCTCGTAAAATCCTTAAAACCAGGATTGTCCCTAAAGCAAAATTGTGATACGCAAACTGGAATCTCACTTCTACTTTTTTTAAAAATTTCCTTCCATTTTAAACCACTCTCCTATGCCTCTGCCCCCACCTCAGTCCCCTTCCAGTGCTCCAGAACTCCCTAAGGTCTTGTGATGGTAGAAAATAATCTGAAAAACAGATGCAAGTAAGGTGTTAACACTTAATGTGTCACCCCCTCTCAGAACGATTTATATCCTGAAAGAGGAGGACAGGGAGAGGGCAGTATTGAACCAAGAATAACGCCTCACTCCCAAGCGTGGGAATCCCCTGCTTCAGTGACGTGGGAGATCGTAGTGCTAGCTGGGAAAGGCCTTCCCCCTGCCAAAAGGCGAGAGTGGCAACAACAGTAGGCCTCGTGGGGCAAGATCTCATGCATGTCGGGAAGACATCCACATTTGTGTCTGCCTTTATGAGATTTTGAACTGGTTATGATCATCTCATTGAATTTTTGTCCTAAAATGATGTCAGCTTGGTTTGATTCCTTTTCCTCCTGAGTAGTTGATCTGTTATGAGTTTTGATGTTTGGTGTCCATGTGATGTGAAGGAGTCTGTCTCTGCATGATTGTTTATCATTGCTCTGATCCTTCCCAACTACCACAGGAAGAGAGGGGCAGGGACAATTCCAAGATTATGCCGAAATAATAAATTGGCTATTCTCTTCTCTAACCATGCAACAGAAGAAGCAGGCCAGCCCACTGCCGACCCAGGCATGATCATGGACAGTGTGGAAGCAGGAGGAGACATGACGCCTCCCACCAAAAGGAAGAGCAAGTTCTCAGGCTTTGGCAAGATCTTCAAGCCCTGGAAATGGCGGAAAAAAAAAAGTAGTGATAAATTCAAAGAAACATCAGAAGGTGAGATATTAAATTTTAGATATATGTTCTGAGTTAAAGAGTTCCCTATTTTGGAAGTACCTAACTTTTTCATTCTTTTCCCAAGCTTTGATAACCCCTATTTAAAGAGGGGATTGAATCTTTTAGAATTAAAAAACCAAGTGGTCGCTCACTAAGCTTTATATACTATAGCCTCATTCCCAGGTTGGTATTTTGATGGCATTAAAGTTTATCAAGTGGTAAATGGAGGTCCTAAATTGTACCAAATCTTAGATGCTTCGTTTTTTGCTACTCTGGCCACTTCCTGCCAGAGAAAGTTCATTCAAAATACCTTATTATTGAAATTTTATTTTTCTTATTTTTTAAATGTATTTTTCTTGATTTCAGAGAGAGGAAGGGAGAGGGAGAGAGAGTTAGAAACATCAATGAGAGATAGTCATTGATTGGCTGCCTCCTGCACGCCCTCTACTGGGGGTGGAGCCCGAAACCCGGGCATGTGCCCTGACCGGGAATCAAACCGTGATCTCCTGGATCACAGACCATTGCTCAACCTCTGAACCACAAAGGCTGGGCTGAAATTTTAATTAAAAAAGAAAACGATAAAATTATATAAGAATAGTTCCTTTTGGAAATGTTGCTTTCCTAATAGCACAGCATATGAAAGAAACTAAGTTTTTTAACTTAAAGTTAGTTTTCCTGTTTTTTTCTTTCCAGAGACTAGAAAATTGAACCACTTTATACTTTTACCTGTGGAGTTAGAATGATTAAAGTTGACCTTTAACTGCCACATTTCTGAGTGCTGTTTTCCAATTTAATGTTAGTTTTAGAGCGAAAAATATCTATGCGAAAACCAAGAGAAGAGCTGGTTAAAAGAGGAGTTCTGTTGGAAGACTCTGAACAGGGTGAGTTTGCAAACAAATAGCTTATGCCTGTCTCTGTACACTTGGTCTTTGGTTCTGACTAGGAATTTGAATTTTCTTTCTTTCTTTTGCTGTTTATGGCAGTGGGGTGGTGAGCTTTTAAAAAAACAAAACAAAAAATGTTCATGCATCTACAATATGTTTTTTTAAAATGTCTTTATTAAAAAATAAAAAGACAGTTCAGTAAAAAAGCCTACAAAAGCACTGAATTCACTGAAGAGTATGTATGGTGCCCAGTAAACAGATTAAAAGGTGGTTTGTTTTTTTTTACTTCATTAGTAATTAAGGAATACAAATTAAAACAAAAAATAAAGTAATCCTACATATAAATTAGAAAACCTAAAATTAATCAAATGACCAAGAACAAGAGTTGGTGAGGGTATGAAATAAGTGGAATTCATATACAACTGTTGGTAGAAGTTTCAAATAGAATAATTACATTGAAAAATAGTTTTGCATAATCTATGAAAGCTGGAGATATGTAAATCTATGTGCAGATATGTCCAGAACTTGGCATATATCCAACAAAAATGTGTATCCATGTTTATTGAGACATGTATAGATATGCTTGTAGCAGCAGTATTTACTAACAATAGAGCAAAGTTGGAAACAACCCAAATGTCCATCAGTAGTAAAATATAACTTGTGATACATTTATAAAATGAAATACTTACACAGCAATGAAAACAAACTACACCTACATCTGTAATATGAATCTCATAAGTAATACTGAGCAATTACATCAGTTATGAAAGAATATATTATATCATTTCTATAAATGTAAAGAAAAAATAGGCAGTATTAAACTACAGTATTTGGAGATGTGTGCTAAAGTGGTTAAACGATAATTTAAAAAAACAAAGGATCATCTCAAGAGTTAGGAGAGTGATTGCTTTGTGGGAGAAGGAAAGATGTGTTACTAGGGAGAATAGAAGGCTTCTGGGGTATGGAAACTTTTTTTTTTGGTTAACCTTCACCCGAGGATATTTTTTCCATTGATTTTTAGAGTGTAGAAGGGAGGGAGAGAGAGAGAGAGACATCGATGTGAGAGACAGACTTATTGATTGATTGCGTGCACCCTGACCAGGGCCAGGGATTGAACCTGCAACCCAGGTACATGCCCTTGAACGGGAATTGAGCCCTCAACTCTTCGGTGCTTGGGCTGATGCTCTAACCACCGGCCAGGGCTGGAAACATTTCTTAATGTCCATGATGATCACACAAGTACTCTTCTTGTACTATATCATTGAAATTTACATTTATGGTCTATACATTTCTCTCTATTGGTGTTATACTTGATGAAGAAATTAAATATTAATAAGATGTTTTTGTAGAATTCATGTCATGCCATCTATTTTCTTTTTTTAATTTTTTTTTTTTAATATATATCTTTATTGATTTCAGAGAGAGGGCAGCAGAGAGAGAGAGAGATAGAAACACCAATGATGAGAGAGTCATTGGGGATCAAGCCCGCAACCCGGGCATGTGCCCTGACCAGGAATCGAACCTCGATCTCCTGGATCCTAGGTTGATGCTCAACCGCTGAGTCACGCCCGGCCGGGTGTGCCATCTAGTTTCGATTTATTTTTAAAAGGCACATATTTCTGTGGGAATGAAAATACCTGATAAGTGAAAGATTAAGATGTAGTGAGAATAACTAATTTTTCTTGTACAGAATTTCAACTTAGGGGGTTAAGTATGGAGTGATTTTATTTCTTCTAATAATTACCTCCTAATTTCCTTTATTAAAGTCAATTTTCTTTCTGGGGTAGAAGGCAACTATGTCTAAATTATCTCCCATGTCTAAATTATCTGGCTGTAGATCTTTAACTCTGAAGTTGAGTGGTTAATGAAGGATCCTTGGGGCAAACATTCTCTGTGCCAGCTGTAGTACTATGTCGTTTGTTTCTTCCTTTCTCTCGCTTTCTCTTTTTTTTTAATCCTCACCCTAGGATGCTTTTTCCATTGCTTTTTTTAGAGAGAGTGGAAGGGTGGGAGGGAGGAAGGGGTGGAGAGAAAGAGAAACATTGATGTGAGAGAGACACATTGACTGGTTGCCTCCTGCATGCACCCCAACCCAGGGCAGGAGTGAACCTGCAACCTGGGTACATGCCCTTGACTGGGAATCAAATCTGCGACCCTTGGTTCGAGGGTCTGGCGCTCTAACCTTTGAGCAGCACTGACCAGGGCATCTTTCTTTTCACCATATTTGCCTCATGCCCATATTGCTGCCCTAATCTTCTGTTTGTATGTCATGAAGATCATGTTTTGGCATTTCAACATTCATTGCTGGTTTAATAATGTCAGGACTTTCTCCAATGTGTGACTTTTACGAAGCAGCTTATCAGAAGAGTTAAGACTATATAGTAGTGTTTGCATTTCATTTCTCTTTATTAGAGTTACTTTGCATGAGACAAAATCTGAAAACGAAGTTTTAAAAAGAATTCATATCTTTGCCTTGGCTGGTGTTGCTCAGTAGTTAGAGCATTGGCCCAAGGGTCGCGGGTTCAATTCCCAGTCAAGGGCACATATCTCGGTTTTGGGTTCACTTTTGCCCCGTGAACCCGAAGGGGTGCATGAAAGAGGCAACCTGTCAGTGTGTCTCTCTCACATCGATGTATCTCTCTCTCCCCACCCCCTTCCTCCCTTCCACTCTCTCTGAAAAGCAATGGAATAAATATCCTCAGGTGAGGATTAACATACATACATATGTACATGAATAAAAATAATTTATATCCTTTGGATGATGGAAGAAAGGAGCCAAACTGGTGGAGCATTATACATTTTAGGTTTTGAACCATGTGATGTATTGCTTATTCACACAATTTAATTAAATTATGTATATTAAAGATTTATTTCAACTTTATAAAAGCAGTGGAAGAAACAAGCTCAAAGGAAAAATACTATTATAATATTAGCATTGGTTACCTCTGGATGTTGAGATAAGAATATAGGGAGTTTTTTAATTTTTATTTTTCTGAATTTTCTGTCTGGTTAGTTATGAGCATCTGTTTTATCATGCGTCTCTTGTTTTTTAAGGTAGGGCACACAAAATCTTCTAGCTATGTAGGTGGTTAACTACAGTTATAAACCCTCATTTGGAGCACCGTTGGCCCTTGGTTTTTTGATAATAGCATTCCTCACTCCGTGCCCTCACCTGCCTCTCACCTTTCTTGCTCACTCACCACAAACCTCCTCCATTACTTCTTTCTTGTTTTTCACCTTCATTCGGTCTCTTTTGCCCTTTGCTTCCTATTGGCTCTTGATCTAAGTTGTTTTTAGCCTAGGAGCTCAAAGGTCCAGTTGCAAATGAGTTGCAGCCATTGGATAAGATGCCACTGTGCCAACCAGAGAACTGACCTAAGCTTTATTCTGTAAGAAGAAACTCATAGATGGGCCTTAGGGCCTGGCTTATATGTTTCCAGTTCAGGCCAAAAGCAGTGTTTGAACCTTAAAGTTCTTTCCATACTTGAAGATGGCTTTTGCCTTGATTATGGTTCTAACTTGACTTTTTTGTAATATACTTAATAGATTTTTCTGAGGGGGAGGGGCATTCATAGGTATTAAAGCCAGATACTACTTCTGCTCCACTGTTAGAATTGCAGAAACCCTAAATATGAGAAACTTTACTTAAAAGTAGGGAATTCTTATTAAGAACTTGGGAGAGAACTGATCACTTTTACATATATTTTAGTAGTATGTGCTGAGTAGAAACCAATTAATAATGTGTCTTAACCTTTCACTGTATGGCTTTCAAAAGTAGCAATCTGTGTTGGCATTGAAATGATTCATTGCTTTATATTCCAGAAAGACCTGTTTCTGTTAAAACTGATCTATATTAACATAAGCAGTAACTTACTACATTTGCATAATTGTTGTCATCTTGCCTCTCCCCTTCTTAAAAAAAACAGTTGTCAGAATACCTCAGCTTTAGAAGTACATTTTTATTTAGTGCTCATTTGCCTTAGTCTCATCACCACTTTTAGCCCAAGCTCCACCTCTTGTTTAGACTGCATGAAGAGTGATACTGTCTAATCTCCTAGTAGGAAGTGGTGGATTGGGATGAGGGAAACTGGTTGGTCTGAGAACTTGAAGGGCTAACTCAAGAGTCACTAAAATGATACTCCCCAGAGTGTCTGGCTATGGAAAGCATAGGACACCATCTAGAAAGCTACTAGTTCCAGTCCCCACACTTGGAGATAAGACAGAGTTTTTAGTCTCTAACCTCAGGTTTTTTTCATTTTCTCCTCCAAAGAAGTCTAGAAGAACCTCAGCAGTAGCTGGGAATGTTTATCTCATTGCTCCGTGAAGGAATCTTACCTACAATTTTCATAGTGATGAGTAGTCATCCCCAAAGCCTAGTGATCATTCCTGCAGTTTAGTTTGTAGGAGTTTATCATGTATATTATGTTTATCTCTGATGCATATGTCAGTTCTACCCCTTGCTCTCCACTCCTCATATCCGCAGGCACCCTCTGCTACGTCTCACTTATATTCTAACAGTAGCTCATTGTTACTTTTCTTGTTCCAATCACTGTGTAATCCATCTTCCTCACAGCTCTGAGTTAACCTTCTAAAAGACAGATCAAATCAGAGCTCCCTCCTACTTTAATTCATGGCTTCCCGTTACCTACAGGATTCAGTCCAGGCTCTTTTACATGGTGTTTGGTATCCTTCATAGCCTTGCTCTTGCTTGCCTTTCCAGTCCTATCCACAACTTTTCCTTATATGCATCTATTCCCCTGTCAGAGACCTAACTAGTTGCCAGTTCCCACGCATGTTGAATAATTTCACACCTTTATACATGCTATTTCTTCTTCTTAGATAGACCCTTTCATCATCTTGTTATCAGTCCAGTAGGCTCCTACCCATCCTCTAAGACCTAGTTTAGCTACCACTGTCTTTGAAGCTTCCCTAACCCCATTCCTACCCCAAGATAATTATTTCTTCTTTATTCCTACCACTTCATCAATTATAGCTCTTAACATTTAGCACTGTAATTATGTATAATAAATAAATCTGTCTTATTCATGTAGCAGTGCACCTGGCACATAATGGGCAATCAAATGTCTATTTTAAAAAGGAATTACTTAATTTCCACTACTACTATAAAGATCCAAATAATAATAATAATAATAATCTCGATCTAAATAATAAGCTTAAAAAGGAGAGCGGGAAATGGGATAAGAGGACCACGCCAGTTTCAGCAGTGTGCTCTTCCCTTTTAGACCTTGCAGGTGGTGAGGATGCAGGGAAGTTGAGCCATGCTGTGTTAAAGAATGGCCATACCACCCCCATAGGGAACGCCAGATCTTCTAGTCCAGGCCCAGTAGAGGAAGAGCCAGGAAGAATAGCAAGTCTTGGGAAACCTATTCCAGAAGAGGACCCAAAGAAGCGACTAGGTAAGAAACTGGATTTTTGAGTTTATGAGCCATGGATCAAAAAAAAGCCACTGATCAGTCATTCTCGTTTACCTCGGGTTTGCAAGAGCAAGGGGAGAAAGAAAATCCAGAGGTAATTCTGTTCTCTGGCAGTTCCTCAGCTAGTTTTACTTTAAGTAGAATTACCCCTGTCATTCTTTCGTTCACAAAGTATCTAAATTTGTGAGTCTCAAGGACGGAAGAGGATCTTAAATATCAGATACCTGTAGGACTTTTTTAAGGTACACGTTTCCTCTTCCACCCAAGGAATTTTCTCGAATGTACCTTTTCCTGGCTTCACCACGATAACAAGTCTCTCTTACTGATTGAAAAAGTGTCACATACCTTAAGTGTGTTGAGGTTGGGAAACTTGCCTATAAACTAATCTATAAACTAAATAATGGGTGAAGTTGACCATAAATTGCTAGGTTTTTTAGTCTGTCTTGTTAAATCTTTTAAATCTTCTGTTATAACACAGGCTCAACTGGAAGCCGGCCTAATTCTGAAGCAGAGTCCGCTCCTGAGAATGCACCCAAACAGCCTTTACTTCCACCCAAAAGACCCTTGTCCTCTTCTCATGAAGCAAATGAAGGGCAAGCGAAGGATTCTACTTCCTGTGGCAGCACAGCAAGGTCCATCTCCTCCACCTCTACCGCCGCCACCACCACAGCACCTGCTGCCACTGCTGCCGCCACAAACTTACCAAAAACTGTTATTAATGCCTCTGTCCCCCCTACCCCAGCACCCAGGACTCTGCCTGCTGCTCCTGCCAGCACTAACACTACTGCTACCCCGAGCCTCCCTCATACGGTCCCTGCCAAGCAGCCCCCTGTCCCTCCCCCTAAACCAACTCACAGAAATAGCAACCCTGTCATTGGTAAGTAAGTCTTTAGGTTGCCATTGTTTGGGGTTGGGTTGGGTTTAGGATGGTTGTTTTATTGGATAACTGGTCCAATATTGATTTGGTCTATGAGAGTTTCCATATCTTGTCCCTTTGAATGCATTCAATATAGAGAAAAGTCTTGAAAATGAGGCAGGTGACTATGAATGGAAACAGGCCAAGGTCAGATACCACTAAAATTAGGTTGAAATGTGGGAGGATTAATATCTATTTTCCTAAAGCAGTATTTCAGAAATACTATATATAGTTGGAGGACTGAGCACGTGAAGACCACAACAGGTTTGACCAGCACGAAGGAAAGATTTCTTTTAACCTATTTTAATCTGCAAGTGCATTCCTTCAGCATGAGCCCCATAGGGGAAAGGATGATTGCAGATGCCAGTGTAACTTGTGGTTCAGTGCCTGGCATAATATCTTCAAGGGGAACTGCAAAATATATTTAAATTGACTTGATAAAATCATGTTTTATCTTGAGAGAGTTAAAGAATGCTACTCTTAGTAAAATTAGTGATGGAAGAGAAAACAGGAGGATAATTGGTTTTAGTACATTTTTTATATTTACCTGAAGTCCTTTTTAGGTCTGTTTTCTTTACATAAATGCATACCTTCTTAGAGGAATTTCCAAGAAAGGAAGATAGTTTTTTCAGAAAAATGATACTAGGCTTAGTACTGCTTAAAGTTCTTGTTAATAATCAGAGGAATTAAAAGAATGTTTGTTGCCCTGGCCGATGTGGCTCAGTTGGTTAGAGCATCATCCCATACACCAAAAGGTGGCAGGTTCAACTCCTGGTCAGGGCACAGACCTGGGATGTGGGTTTATTCCCTAGTTGGGGCACATGCAGAAGGCAACTGATCGATGTTTCTCTTTCTCTCCCCCTCTCTCGCCCTGTCTCTCTCTCTCTAAGCATGTCCTTAGGTGAGGTTTTTTTAAAAAAGCATACTTGTTAAATGGCTAATGCCTTCAAGTTGTGTGGGGTAAATAGAACCTTGAAAAACAGGCTTAGAATTCATTGTGGGTATGACAGGTTGGAGTAGCTTGATAAAAACAGGATGAAGGTTATTACTATTATCACCACCTTGTACAGATAATGCTGCGTTGACTTATCTCTGAGGAACTTGAGAAGCTTTCATACACCTCTTTTCAAAATCTTGTCAAGTAGGAAACTGATTTTATCTATTACATAGTTAGGGCAAGTAGAACGTGAAGAAATTGTGACTCACTCAAGGTTGCAGTTACTGAAAGATAGAAATCAAACATAGGTTTTTCAGCTCTTGAGTATAGACCTGTTTTATACTCCTGTGTTTGCAAATGGTTGTTTAGACCAGTGTTCTCATCACAGTCGCCTGGAGGGCTTGTTAAAATAAAGATTACTGGGCCCTGCCCTTAGAGTTTCTGATTCAGTAAGTCTGGAGTAGGGCCTGAGAATTTGCATTTCTAATAAGTTCCCAGATGATGCTGATGCTGCATATAGAGAGACCACACATTGAGAACCAGTAGTATACTCCACTCTTGTCAAGGGAGACAACATAAAAACTGGTATTATGTGTACTGTATCCTGGGCTAAACTCTAGAGGCTACTCTTGGCCTAAGGTGAACAGCCCAAAACAACAGGCCCTGTGACTGAGGAATCTCTATCAGCCCATGAGTGGTCCTCAGCAGAAGGAGAAAAATAGGACAGTTCACAGAGTCTTCATCAAGGTTAAATAGGTTTGATTTAAAGGACTGGTCTTCATTCTGAAATTATGACCTTACTCTTTGGTATTAAAAGGCCGTTTCTTTCACGAAAGGATTATGTTTATAAATGGTGTACTTAATATCGAGCCTTACTTGGAAATACTAAAAATGACAACCTGAGGTTAGTTGAGAATTTCTTTATAGTTGTATTGGTACATGAAATCTAAACATCTGGAAAGCATTGCTGTCGACATTGCTTCATCTGCTAATGGGCATAACAGTCTTAGGACTAAGAACTAATTAGGACTATTAGATATAAGGAAGGAATGTCATAAGTAGCCGAACAGAAGGAAACGAACATTCTGGCATCTTTCCCACAGAACCAAAGCCAAATGCCATTGTCAGGGAATATGTACCAGAGTTGACTTCTTTAACATCTTCAGGTATATGTTTTCCTTAAATTACTAAAGGTAGGTTACTTTATCAAATTCAAATGTTAAAATAGTCAAATTTCCTCTTGTCAGAGGTGGGTTTTGTTGTAACTGGAATAACTTAACTGCGATTTTTTAGAGTGGCAGCAAAAGCCCAGTTAATCCAAAAGTATCTTTCATTGATCCTAAGATTCACATTTAAAAAAATTTTTTTTAATGTGTATGCGATGTTTCTCTAGAAAGCCCTTTTAAAAATATACTTATGATGAGTGACATTAAAATATCAGATTGCCGCCGTGCCATTGTGGCTCAGTTGGTTGGAGCATTGTCCCGTATACCAAGAGGTAGCGGGTTCAATTTCCAGTCAGGGCACATACCCAGGTTGTAGGTTCAATCCCCAGTCAGGACTCGTGCCAGTGTTTCTCTCACACGTCGATATTTCTCTCTCTGTCTCTCTCTCTTTCTTCTTCTCTCTATAATCAATTAAAAAGAAACAGAAACCTGCCAAGTTTTCTAAAAAAAAAAAAAAGTAAGAAAAAAATTTTTTTTTTTTTTTGGTAAAACATTCCTTATCAGAGTATTAAGGTAGTGATCTTCCTATACTCTATACATTTATTAGGTCTCATATTTAAGCGTAAGTTTTGTTTTAGAATGAGGTATCTAGGGAATGGCAGAGCCATGAAATATAATATTTTACCTGAAAGATTAATACTAAGTTCAGCTCTAATTCTAGGCTCTGGGCTTGCCCCTCAAACCATTGAAAAGCCATCTTAAATTGAGATGTTACTCTCTTTTTTCCAGCAATAAACAGTGGTACATTGTTATCAAAACCATCCCCACCCTTGCCACCTAAGAGAGGCATTCCATCAACCTTGGTATCCAGCTCGGAGTCTGCCGCCACCGCCACCACCACCACCACCACCACAAAAGCGCCAAGTGATCAGAGAGAGAAGAGCCCATGTCCTGTGGGCTCCGAACAGCTGCTGCTGATTCCACCTCCCTCTCCATCCCCCCCACTGCCTACTCATATACCTCCAGAACCCCCACGGTCCCCTCCATCCCCTGCTAAGACTCTTCAAATTGTGCCAGAAATTGAGTTTGCACCTTCCTTAGATCTACCCCAGGAGATTCCCCAGCAGGAAGACCAGAAAAAGGAAGTACCCAAGAGAATGTTGGACCACAGCTTTGGGGAGCCCCATGTACCCTCTAGGCTGCCCCCCCTCCCACTGCATATCCGAATCCAGCAGGCCCTGACCAGCCCACTTCCCATAACTTCTTCCTTGGAGGGCTCTCACAGAGCTCATTCGTTGCTCTTCGAGAACAGTGACAACTTTTCTGAGGACAGCAATACCCTGGGTCGTACCAGGTCACTTCCCATCACTATCGAAATGCTGAAAGTGTGAGTACCTTTAAAGCTTGCCTTGTTTCCTCTCCTTTACAATCCTTTTCTAGTTAGCCCTTCTTGGGAAAAAATTACTTGTAAAAAGAAAGTGTGAATAAATTTAAAGTAAGAATAATACTCAACAAATAAGACGTGTTCTAGAATTTGGACTTTGTTTACCCTGCTGATTTCTATAACATTGTTTCCATGGCAGACAATTTTATGACGATACAAAAATTATAAACTTTTGTACTTGAAAATTAAAACCACTGTACTTTTTTATTCATGATGCTTAAGAGCATTGATTTGGGAGTAAGATAGCTCTGGGTTCAAATCCCAGCTCCACCTCTTATTTACTAGCTTGTAGTAGTGTATGTTACTTAACCTTTCTGCTCTTTAGTTGTCTAACCTGTAAACAGGAATAATACCCATTTACATAGCTTTGTGAGAAGGAAATTGGACAAATATGAAAGCACTAGTATCTGGCACATAAGCTGGGTGGAAAGGAACAGAGAAAAGTCTAGAGAAAAAGAAAGGAGCTCTGAAAGACAGCTTAGTATTCCAGCCCCATAGGCTGGAACTGGCCATCTCATCTCTCACGGAAGACTGCTGGGCAGTCTTCTCATCTGTCCCTCAACCCTGAGTTTGTTCACACCAGCATTGGTACTGACACCCACTCTGTCTTTGTTAAATTCTGACAAATTGCAACCAAAGATTAACACCTTTCGGCAAGTTGGAGATGTGCTTCTCTAACTAAAAGAATTGTTATAGAGCTGTTGAAGCATCCTACTTGTTATTTGTTTTGCCGTAGTATTTGTACTTGCTGCTATATTTATTTCACGCCCTGGAAAGAGACCTTTTAGGAGTCTGAATGTAAACTAAGTCATAGTTTTATGCCTCCGGAGTATAAAGAGGGGAAGTTAGTTTTCATCTTTACTTCTGTTTGTTTCCTGGGATTAGATTATCATTTTGTCCTACTGCATTGTTAAAACAAAGGGAAGTGGGTTAAGTATTTGCATTAAATATCTTCCATGAGCCAGGAACAGTGTTAGATGCTGAGCAGTCTTCTCGTTTAATCAGACTAAAGCAAAGCTGTTTGTGTGGCGTAGACCAGCAGGGCCCTGCGTGCCAGACACTAGTGCATTCTAGAATTCGTCTGTTTCATCCTCACAATCAGCCAGGTGGTAGGTATCATTCCCATTTACAGAAAAGTAACTTACGAGCTAGTAATTAAGTTGTAGAGCTAGGGTTTGGACCTGGAGCCTTCAGATTAATAGCTGCTGAAGAGCTCTTAGCAAGATTGTTAAAGTTTAAGGAGGGAATTCTAAATTATTTTATTCACAGACTTTTTCATAGATATTCAGTATTTTGCCTTGCAAATGAGTTGTCCTTTATGTTTCTGAAAGGAAAATACACTGATGTTACTTTTTTAGTCCAGACGATGAAGAAGAGGAGGAGCAGACCCAGCCATCTGCATTCAGCGAAGACATGCCGCCTACCTCAGTGGCTCCTACGCTGCCGCAGAGTCTGCGGGAGGAAGAGGAAGAGAAGGAGAGCGACTCAGACTCGGAAGGTCCCATCCAGTACCGGGACGAGGAGGACGAGGAGGACGAGGAGGACAGCCGGAACAGTGAGCGGGGGCCTATGCGGAAGGGAAGGCCACTCGCTGGCCTCAGCAGGTGTCAGCTAGGGAGATAGGCACCGTCTCCACTGAGTCATCTGGCTGCCTGGTTTGGCTTACGAAGGACTCTTGTCTCTGATATTCTTACTGTTATAACAAGCCAGTGAGAGGGAGCCAGGTAGACTGAGCGCTCAGGTTTTCCATATGTTCTTAATTAAAAAATTATTTACCTTGATGGTATGAAAGAATGCGAAGGAGAGGAAGTTGGTATTTGGGCTATGTCGAAAAGACAGAAACGATGCTCTCCTTCAGTCTAATGAACTTACTATTTACCGTGTTTTGGGGGCAAAGGAAAACAAAACATGTTCATGTACACAAATCTATAAACAGTGGAGCCCTGAAACAGAAAACAGCCTTAAGAATACGAATTTTATGAGGTGTGTTACTGCGAAAACCTTTTAGTGGTAATTCAGAGGGCTATCCCATGCTTAGGTTCTCTCCTATAACAATTCTTACTAAGGGTAAAAATATAGAGGACTGGTAGAAGGGAGAAGATATCTTTAGCCCATTTGAGTCCATCTGGCTGAGATTTTTTTTTTTAATATATTTTTATTGATTTTTAGAGAGAGAGGAAGGGAGAGAAATAGAGAGATAGACACATCAATGAGAGAAAGAAACATCTATCGGCTGCCTCCTGCACGCCCCCCACTGGGGATCCAACCCAAAACCTGGGCACATGCCCTGACTGGAAATCGAACCAGTGACTTCTTGGTTTATGGGTTGAGGCTCAACCATTGAACCACACTGGCCGGGCTGGCTGAGATTTTTAGATGTCTTTAGCTTTACCTGACCTCTGTGTTAGCTGGATGGATTGGAGGCCAGATAGGAAGCTAGGAGATAGGATATTGTGTGTTCAGACTCTTGCCTGATTCTCAATCAGGTGAGGTTGAGCCTTAAAGCTTCAACATTTTTTTTTTTCTTTTTCTTGTGCAAAGGTGCTCTGGCCAACAAAGTGAAGAGGAAAGATACACTGGCAATGAAGTTGAACCACAAACCCAGTGAACCAGAGTTGAACTTGAATTCTTGGCCTCGAAAAAGCAAAGAGGAGTGGAATGAAATACGACACCAGATTGGGAACACACTGATCCGGTAGGCCTCTGGTTAGAATCCATTGATTTGATTTTTTATGACATTATGTATGTTGGAGACTTATTTTGTGGTGGAGCATTCATTTATCTTTTTGTTGTTTTTTAATTTTAGAAATAGTATAATTTTTTTAAATACCTATTGTGCCCAGTTGAGTGTCCTATAAGAATTTGGAAATTAAACTATAAGATACATTTTGTTTTATTCTCTTAAGTTTTAGAGAATTCATGTAGTTCCCAGAACAGCTAGACTCCTCTGTCTTTTATCCAGCTGCTCAAACCTAAGATGCCAACCCAATTAAAGATCACACCCACATTTTTTATTATATCTATTACACATTTTCCATGTAACTGCTTCCTTTCAAAGTGCTAGTATATATATTTTTTCTTTATGTTACTATATTTTTCAAGTCAGCTAGAACTGAAAGCATAAAGAAACTGAATGCAGGCCAACTTCCTGCACATAAAATACGTATGAATCTAGATATATAGACAGGTGTTTTCCCAACTCAGATGTGTTTCTTGATAGAATGAAAAAAAGGAGGTGAAACTCTTGACATGTTACTTACGAAGTAATTAAGGATGTTCATCAACTAAAATATATTCTATCTTGTGCTGTTGGTCAAGATGGCAATCTTAATGCACAACTATGGCCCTCTGTCAGCAAGAGACAATCAAAATTAGGAATTAAAAATGGAGATATTTGATAATCTTATTTTAAGATATATTATAAAGCTAAAGCAACCTAAATAATATGATATTAACATAAAGATAGACAAATAAGTCAAGGGAACAGAAGATAGAGCCCAGAAATAGACCCACCCATATATGTACAATTCATTTTTTACAAAGGTACAAAGACAGTTTCATTGAGAAAGGATGTTCTTTTCCACAAATGGTGCTGATTCAAAAATAACCAATTCATGCCTTGCATCATATACAAAAACTAACTCAAAAGGGATCTTAGACTTAAATATGAGAGATAAAACTATAAAACTTCCAGAACAATATGGGCCAAAGATTCTTAGATATGATCTCAAAAGTATGATTCTTGCCCTGGCCAGTTTGGCTCAGTGGTTAGAGCGTTGGCCCATGGGCTGAAGGGGCCCAGGTTTGATTCCGGCCAAGGGCATGTACCTCTGCTGCAGGCTCAATCCCGCACCCCATTCGGGGCACATGTGGGGGATAACCAGTCAATATCTCTTTCTCGCTTGCTCTTTCTCTCTCTGCTCTTTCCATTCTCTCTGAAAAGCAATGGAAAAAATATCCTCATGTAAGGATTAAAAAAAAGCATAATTCTTAGGAGAAAAACATTGATAAATTGCACTTAATCAAAAATTTTGTTCTTGGAAAGACACTGTTAAGAAAATGTAAAAACAACTCACAAACTGGGAGAAAATATTTTCAAGTCATGTACCTGATAAAGGTCTTATATCTGGAATTTATGAAGAACTCTCCAAACTTAATAAGAAAACCCAATTTAAAAATAGGGGAGGGGCAGAAGATTTTAGTAGACACATCACCAAAGAAGATATACAGATGGCAAATAAGCATATGGAAAGATGGTCAACAGCATTAGTCACTAGGAAAATGCAAATTAAAACTACATTGAGGCCCGGCCTGGTGTGGCTCAGCGGTTGAACATTGAGCTAGGGTCCAGGAGATCTTGGTTCAATTCCTGGTCAGGGCACATGCCCGGGTTGCGGGCTTCATCCCCAGCAGGGAGCATGCAGGAGGCAGCCGATCAATGACTCTCTCATCGTTGTTTCTCTCTCTCTCCCCCTCTCCCTTCATCTCTGAAATCAATAAAGATATGTTTTTTTATTTTTTTTGTTTTTTTATTTTTTATTTTTTAAAAATATACCTTTATTGATTTCAGAGAGAGGAAAGGAGAGGGAGAGAGAGACAGAAACATCAATGATGAGAAAGTCATTGATCAGCTGCAGCCAGCAACCCGGGCATGTGCCCCGACCGGGAATTGAACCCCGATCTCCTGGATCCTAGGTCGACGCTCAACTGCTGAGCCATGCATGGCCGGGCCAAGATATGTTTTTTTAAAAAAGCAAAAAACTACAATGAGATACCACTACAAGCTCACTAAGATGGCTAAAATTGTACAACTTAAGACTGAAAATACCAAGGGTTGCTGAGAATGAGGAATAGCTGACTTCTCATATACTGGTGATGGGAATGTAAAATAGTAGAACTACTTTGGAAAACAACTTGTAAGTTTCTTTTAAAAAATAAAACAGCCCTGGACAGGTAGGTCAGTTGGTTGGAGCATCATCCCATACACCAGGAGTTGGTGGGTTCAGTTTCCAGTCAGGGCACATGCCCAGGTTGCAGATTCTATCCCCAGTTGGGGTGAGTCAAGAGGCAACTGACCAATGTTTCTCTCTCTTTCTCCCCGTCTTCCTAAACTAATCTAAGGTATAGTGATACAAAGCAGATCAGTGTTTGCCTGGGGGCAGGAAAGTTGACTACAAAAAAAGTGTAAGATTTTGTGGAGAAAATTATAGTAGGTAGAGTTGTGTCCCTCCCCAAAAAAGTCCTAACCTCTGGTACCTATGAATGTGACCATATTTGGAAGGAAGGTCTATGGAGATATAGTCAAGCTAAGACAGGGTCATATTGGATTAGGGTAGGCTCTAAATCCAATGACTGGTATCCTCATAAGAAGAGGGAAATTTGGCCCGGCCGGGCGTGGCTCAGCGGTTGATCGCCGACCTAGGATCCAGGCGATCTGGGTTCGATTCCCCATCAGGGCACATGCCCGGGTTGCGGGCTCGATCAATGACTCATCATTGATGTTTCTCTCTCTCTCTCCCCCTCCTTTCCTCTCTCTGAAATCAATAAAGATAAATTTAAAAAAAAAAAAAAGAAGAGGGAAATTTGGCCCTGGCCCAGTAGCTTAGTCGGTAAAACGTTGTCCCCATACACCAAGGTTATGGGTTTAATCCTCAGTAGGGCTCCTACAGGAGGCAACCAATCGATGTTTCTTTCTCTCTCTCTCTTTCCCCCCCTTCCTCTGTCAAATCAATTTTAAAAGCAAATAAACATTTGAAGAGTTATTAGCATGTGATTCAAATACTATCTGAGAGGTATAAATTAAAGGCAAGAAATGAATAACTTTCTGATTCCTAAAATGACACGTTGTCATTGGTAACATCTCATAACTGTGGATGAGATGAGAAATTTCGTCAAATATTTGACCAAGAAGACTGAATTTTTTTTTTTAATATATCTTTATTGATTTCAGAGAGGAAGGGAGAGGGAGAGAGAGAGAAATAGAAACATCAGTGATGAGTGAGTCAGTGGTCAGCTGCCTCCTGCACGCCCCCTACTGGGGATGGAGCCTGTAAAACCCGGGCATGTGCCCTGATCAGGAATTGAACTGGGATCTCTTGGATCATAGGTCGATGCTCAACCGCTGAGCCACTCCAGCCAGGCAAGAGGACCGAATTTTAAAATCTGAGTCCTCATCCTGGTTTCCTGAATCAAAGTTTCTGTTAATACGCCTTGAGAATCTTTGTTTTTAACAGATTTGCTGAAGGAACAAATCTGGGAGCCACCAGACCAGTCTTCATTTTACAGATGAGTACACTCAGGGTCTGACTAAGCTTTTTTGTAGTGATAGGACTTGTCGATGTCAGAGCTAGAACTAGAATCCTGGCCTCCTGTTTACATGTACAATTTCTTTTTATGTTATAACATCTGTATGAACACTTGCAACAGGAAAATTGTTTCATAAACAGTGAACAAGATAAACAATTGAAATTTCAAAACAGTTTGAAATTTTATTGATTTTTTGCCAGAAATTTTATTGATTTATTGATAAACTAAGACCAAAACAAATCTTTATCAGCAGGATTGAGAGGTTAACATAGACAATACTCTTATTTATCTCTTTTTAGACGACTGAGTCAAAGACCAACACCAGAAGAACTTGAACAGCGAAATATACTACAACGTGAGTCCAGCTATGGAAATAAAGTTGTACAGATTTTCTTTGTATATTTCTGACTTTAATATACATAACAGAGAAGAGAAGTGTTTTCTACAAGGGCCAAGGAAAGAGTGTTCCAGCCAAGAAAGGACTATTAATAGCTGTTCCCCTGAAGGAACAAAGTTCCTCAAACTTTCTTTACAAGATATCGATATAGTATTGTGTAGTGGACTGGGATAATACAGACATTTTCTTTTAATGTTCTCACAGTATCTTGAGACTAACTTGGGCATTTGGGAGGATTTCACAGTATGTGGTAGATGCTGCCCAACTTTTCTCTTTCTTCAAGGAAGTAAAATAGTGGCTGTACAGTTAGAGGGGACCTTCCTGTTCTGAGGGGGATCTGAGGACTGGGGCCCAAAGCAAAACCCAAATGCAGCAGACTTCCTGCCTTTTTCATCTCTTAAGACTTCCATACCTCTAAAGTCACAAAATAGGACCATGTTTTTATTTTTTCTCCCTGTACATAATTAACTTCCTGGATTAGCATTCTAATCTAGTACAGATTTATTTTTCCAGATTATAGGGTGAAATTTGGAACTAAAAACCTCCACACACCAAAGAGGATTAAGCTTCATAGGATTACTTGTGGGCATGCTCACTTTGACCATTCCTTCCCTTGTTTTCTCATCACTATTTGGATATATACAACTTAATCACTTAGTAAACTTTAAAGTGTGGGAGTCTTTACAGACATATTACACAAAACTTTGTGTGATCTCCATTCTCCCTTCTAAGTGGTTACCTTTGAGGAAGAATCTGCAAAGGGTTTTGTGTGTTTTTAAGATTCTTTTATTTATTTTTATTTTTAAAGATTTTTAAATTGAATTTTACAGAGAGAGGGAGAGAGGGAGGGAGGGAGGGAGAGAGAAACATCAATGTGAGAGCAAAACATCGATCAGCTGCCTCCTGGGGATTGAGCCTGCAACCTAGGTATGTGCCCTGACCGGGAATCAAACAGGCAACCTTTCATTGGCTCAACCAGCTGAGCCACACCAGTAAGGGCTGCAAAGGTTTTTTAAAGGATACATAGTAAATATTTCCAACTTTGCAAGCCAAAATAAAAGGAAGCTATTATTTAGGTACTTATCAAACCATTCAAAATGTAACCATTTAAAAGTGTACATCCAGCCAGTGTTGCTCAGTGGTTGCGCATTGACCCTGGAACCAAGAGGTGACAGTTCGATTCCTAGTCAGGGTACATGCCCAGGTTTTGGGCTTGATCCTCAGTGTGGGGCATACAGAAGGCAGCTGATCTGTCTCATCAATGTTTCTATCTATCCCTCTCCCTTCCTCTCTCTCTAAAAATTAATAAATAAAATAAAGAATTAAAATGTAAAGACCTGTCTCAGCTAATGGGCAGTAAAAATGTGGGTGACTAGTCAGACTTGGTACAATAGTTTGCTGCCCTTGCTCTTGAGTATTTGAGTACCAGTTGACAAGAAAATTGTCTTGGTTAGCCATCCCCAAAGTTCATATTTTATTCTGATTTGGAGCCTGTAAGAAATATCTGCACTGTAGTTAGTGAAAAGTTTGATATGCAGATTGCCATTGTGAAGTAATATTTTTTGTTTCTGACTGTCAACTGTAGCTAAAAATGAAGCTGACCGTCAGGCAGAAAAACGAGAGATTAAACGTCGGCTCACTAGAAAGGTACGTTGCCCCAGTGTTCGGTTTCCATCTATCTCCTGAGTGCATATCTTATATTTGAATGGGCTATTTGATTGGAAAGAAATGACTTCAGGTGCCATAAATTGCTATGAAAATAGAATACATGATGCAAATATAGAAAACACAGCATTATCAGGAGCATTTCCCCCCCACTTTTACTATTTAAAAAAGCCTGGCACAAGAAGATGCTCAATAAATGCATAAAATTTTACCTTTTATTTGGGAAACCTGGGATTTTGAAAACTTGCTGAAGTATAGAGATGGTAACAGGAAGAGTGTGTAGCATTGCGCAGCATACTGGTTATTTTCTAATACAGCAAAGAATGAACTGACCCTTAGTAATATCTGAAAAGTATGAAAAACCAACTAGGATTTTTTCCTTGGTCCCAGACCAAGTAGGGTAGAATCTTTTCTGTACCAGACGTGTGTTAGCTTTAAAGCTCCTGGATTGATTAATACCTTCCTTTCCTTCTCACTATAATGGTTTATAATTGCCTCCTCCAGATTGTGATTTGGTCTGAGTTCTCTAAATATTTCTTAAACATAATAAACCCCAGGAACGTGGGGGGATCCAGACATTTTCTTCCTTTTTTTTTAAAAAAAAAAAATGTCTTTATTGATTTCAGAGAGAGGAAAGGAGAGGGAGAGAGAGAGAGAGAAGCATCAATGATGATAGAGTCATTGATCGAACCCACAACCCAGGCATGTGCCCCGACCGGGAACCGAACCCCGATCGCCTGGATCCTAGGTCAACGCTCAACTGCTGAGCCACGCCTGGCCGGGCGACATTTTCTTCCTGATTCCTCCCACTTCTCCCCTTCCCCGGAATCAGAGGAGCTATTCTTGATAGAATAAAGGTAGCGAGAGGCCACAGCTGGACTCGATGCCTTCAGATTACACAGGTTACCTGATTGTGCAAACTTAAATCATAATGTATTGCATAATCTGCTGTCCTAGACATTGTTCGTGTTGAAAGGAAATTCACCCTTAATATTACCCACTGTAGATATTGTTTCATATTAAATGTATTCACTTTCTAATGTATTATATGTGAGTTTATACCCCTAATCCTTTTCTTACTCAAAATGTGGCCCGTGGACCAGCAGCATTGGCATTACCTAGGACTTGTAAGAGATGCAGAATCTAAGGCCCCACCCAGACTTGCTTATTCAAAATCTACATTTTAACCAGATCCCCAAATGTTTTGTATGTATGGTAAAGTTTGAAAAGCACTGGTAATACTTTACCCTTGTTAATAGCAGTGGTTTTCAAACTTAGCTGTGCATTCAGTAGCTTAAAAAAAACCTCTCAATGCCCAGAATCTCTAGGGATGGACCCAGACATCAGTAGTATTTGAAGGTCCCCATGTGTTTCCAATGTGCAGCAAAGGCTGAAGCACTGGTTAGAGGCGATTTGAATGCATGATTGATGCCTGATTCCTGGCATAGTCAGCTAAGAGGCTCCATTTCTTTCAGCTCAGTCAAAGGCCAACTGTGGCCGAACTCCTTGCTAGGAAGATTCTGAGGTTTAATGAATATGTGGAGGTAACAGATGCTCATGATTATGACCGGCGAGCCGACAAACCTTGGACCAAACTGACCCCTGCTGACAAGGTCTGTCTCTCTTTCTCTCTTTATGCAAGGCACTAACTAGAGAGGGGAACTGTAAACAAAATTCTACTTTTAATGTAATGTTAAATTAGTAATCAGAACACAAAATGTAAAGATGTGCAAACCAAAACTTTATATTAATGATTCTACCACCACCACCAAAACTGGAAGAAAAGAAAGTCCCTACTACATCACAGTACCAAAATCTGGACGGAAATAAAACATTTTTAACAGTGGTTATGTTGGTCTGAAGGAGTTTGGGTGGTATATTTTAGTACTTACCATATTTCATTTTTTTCAAGAGGAAAAGCATTTTTACTTGCTGTGGAAACTATAAAAGCTACAATATGTCTTTTAAACTCTTCAGGTGTTTTGATTTCACTGGAGATTGTAGGTTTATTATGAGATGATTGGTGTCTGGGAAGGCAATGGGTATTGGCTTGGAGCTTCACCCATTGTGTTGCCCTGGATTCTTTCTTCCCTCTGGGTTCCAGCTGCGGGTTACAGTGACTCACAAAGCTAAGCACAGTAGAGACTAGATACTGCTATACAAACCACACTGCTATATGATAGCAAGCAGAAAATGCTGAAACATTTTTGCTTTTACTCCACAGGCTGCCATAAGGAAAGAATTAAATGAATTTAAAAGCTCAGAGATGGAGGTTCACGAAGAGAGCAAACATTTTACACGGTAAGAGCCAAAAGACCCAAATACTGTGAACTAAACGTTCCACAAAAAGTAAATATACTGCCTGAGTTGTTCAGATAGGAAGAACTCTCATGACATCCTTTAAAAGAGGGACAATCAGTACCCTGGCCAGGTGACTCAGTTGGTTAGAATGTCATCCTGATATACCAAGGTTGTGGGTTCAGTCCCTGGTCAGGGCACATACAGGAATCAACCAATGATGCATAAATAAGTGGAACAACAAATTCATATCTCTATATCTGTCTGTCTCTCTCAAATTGATAAAAATAAATAAAAAATAAAAAAAAAAATAAAAGGAGGACACTCAGTGTTGGTTGCAAGAAGACTAAGAGAAAGGGATGAGAATATAGAATCAGTAGTAAATTCCTGTACTGTAGTCAACTTTCGAGGCGATAATATCCTCATTTTATTGATGAAGAAACAGGCTCAGAAGGGTTAAGTAACTTGCTTGACTCGCTAGTAAGTTGCAAAACCAGGATTTAGGGAAAGGAATGAATGACTAAAACTGGGTTCTCTCTTCCCTGTGCCTCACTGTCCCAGGTTATAAATGAGGAAATTGTTGCTGAATTAGGTAAAATCTTGCCCTCTCCGGTTTCAGTTCTTTCTAGCACAGTTGATTTTACCAATTTCGTATATAAACTTTAACTAGCTGTCTTCATCAAACAAGCCAAGAAATATTTTGATTTGGAATTACTGTTGTGATTAAGGACCTTCCCAGTACCTAAAGAATCAGCTAGCCAAAAATGAAATCTAGGTGGCTGAACATATCTAGGTGACTCTCAGAACATTTATAAAAAGAGGCTATTTCTGGTCAGGGCACTACCTAAGTTGTAGGTTTGATCCTCTATCGTGGCACATGTGGGAAGCAACTGATCAATATATTTTTCTCTCTCCCTCTTCCTCTCTCTCTAAATAAAAATTTAAAAAATCACTAACCATATTTTGGGGTGATGATTAAATATATATATATTGTTAAATATTTTTCCATCACAGTACAGGCAAATAGTTCTTTTAATTAGAGGTTTTTTGTTCTGAACTCTTACAGGAGTAGAAAAGACAAATTCTTTGAACAGCAATGCTACTACTCAGGGCACTATAATGTAAACTCAAAGAGCAAATCATGCTCGTCAGCAAGGAGATTGTGGTCTAATCTGGGAGAAGACAAGTGAACTACCAAATATAGTACAATCAGTACTGATAAATGCCTCAGTCATTCTGAGTCCACATCTGCCAGTTTTCATACCCCAGTGCCACCATTTCCTAGCTATGCCAGCGTTAGCTATTTTTATTGTTTTTAGTAATCATAAGAAAGTACTATAGTGAGCAACAATAAAGGAAAAGAACCCTAGAGAAGGTGACACAGGCTGGATCTTGAAGTGCGTAAAATAACTTATTTGAACAAGAAGGAAGAAAGGAACATTGTAAGCAGAAGAACCAGCTGTAGCAAGGCTACAGGAGGTAGGGAAGTGCATGATGTTTCTGGGTAACAGAAAATGTAGCTAGAGCAGAGGATGTATGGGACAGTATGGTGAAGCTGAGATGAGTTATGGTCGCCCTTTGAAGAACTTTGTTATGCTAGGATATTGGAACATTGGTGTTCTGTGTATTTCAGAACAGGCTCTGGTGGAGCTTTGGAAGGAGAAATGGAAGGATGGAGAGACTAGCAGCAGAAAACCAGTTAGGAAGTAACTAGAATAGCCATGGTGAGCATACTAGTAGCTCAGAGCAGAGAAGTGGTAGAATGCAAGAGAGATTTGAAAGACATTTCAAGCATAGAATCAACAAGATCTGGCAATCGTGATTCCAGGGATGAATCAAAGGGTGTGGGCAAAATGAACTCTGGGAGTTTTAACTTGTGATTTTGAGGCCTGTGATATTGATAAGGAGTGCAGTTGAACAGTTTAGGACATTCCTTCAGTAAAATGTATATTGAGCAGCTACTACATGATAGATATGATAGATACAGTGCTAGGCACTTGGAATATATAGCAGGGAACAAGATAAAGTCCTTGCCCTTAACAAGCTTCTAAAACAGGAAGGCAGACAATAAACAAACTGGAAAATAAATTATATTGAGCTTGACAAACGTATGCCAGGATATTCAGCCTGGAGTGCGAGCGCAAACAAGGTCTACAGATAGCGTATTTATGAGAAAAGGTAGTGGTTCTTAAGGGGGAACTTGTTTTGTATTTAAAGGGTGGGCCAAGGAAAATGCACCAGGAAAACGTACTCAGGAGAAGCGATTGAAGGAGCAGGAAAACTAGGGAAAAGCGAGTGCTACACACACTAAGAGAAGAGAGTTCTGAAGAAGGAGGGAAGCGGGTCAGGCGTGTCAGATGCTACAGAAAGGTCGGGAAGAATTAGAGTGGAGGAGAGGCAATTTTAAAAAATTAAAACAGCATTTTTTTACTATTAATAATAGCAAAGCAATCTATAGTATCTGGTAACTCGGCTCTTTTTGATCATCTGTTTTAGTTACCATCGTCCATGATGCTGAAGTTTGAGAGAGGAGCTAAACAACCCCCTACAACAGGGCTCCTTTGCTGCTTCAGCCTCCAGAATGACATGACGGGAACTTCAGCGCTTACCAGCACCACCAGGATTTAGTCTTCTGGGGTGAACAGCAATTCTATGAATGTAGCGTTTCACTGGAATGGATTCTCATGTGCTGCCTTGAGCAAAACTGAACATTCTCAGTGCTTTGAACCTTTTAATATTGCAGCATACTGGAGGGGTCTTCCCTGACCAGCCATAAATGTCCTGGGCCACCTGCACCACACCCTTGCCCCAAGATGACTGCCTGTGCTGAGGCACAGTTCGCACCATTAGCCTTACCTGCTCTGTCCTGACTGTGAGACCCACTTGTGTAGGCACTAAATTCTAGCCGGCGAATCCAGTTGGTGGTGGGGACAACCAAGGGGGCCCTAGCCTTCTAGCAAAGAAGCCCCCACTTCCAGGGAAAGCCTTCCTACCACACTGGCATGTCAGCATTGTCCCATACCTCTTGTAACACAGCAATATCGTCTCTTCAGGTAGTTCAGCCTGAAAGAAGCTCAGGATCTGACAAGTGCTTCCTTTTTGACACAGGTTATCCTGATTATTATTTTTTTAATCTTGAAGTGATGGAAATGTGTGTTCAATCTGACCTTCAACCAGATTCCAAGTTGGGAAAATGCAAAAGCATGTATGTTTTCTGTATACAAAACCAAAAAAAGCCTTTGTGTTAATGCCAACTTGGCAGAAACTGACTCATGGCTCAAATGTTGAAAGCTGTTGTAGTTTTGTTGTACCAAATGATTCTGTAAATCATTTTGACCAATAGATATATTCTCCTCTGTAAAGCAGAGTTGTAGCAACTCTGGGAGCTGTGTGCTGTCGGCCCCCACACTTCCAGCCAGAATCACAGCAAAGTCTAGGAATGTTGGGTGCTAAATCGGAAATTTCTTTGGAGAAGCAATTAGGGGGGCACAATCATGACCCACTGCTCCTCTCCTCAGCACAAATGTTTGTCTTCCTGCTGCCCCTCTGGCAGCTTCCATCCCACTCCTCCCTACTACTCCAAGCCGGAGCCAGTGTAGTTGCTGCCTGGGCATTGGCTCAGCCCCCACCCCCTTCTTTTGTAATATATATTAATATGATTTCCTGAAACAGAAGATTCAGTTGCTTTCTTTCAATTTTTATTGAAAACTATTTCCCTCTAATTCCTTTCCACACTAAATAGAAGAAAAAAATAGTTCCTATTTAACTGATGAATGTGGCTTTTTCTCTTTAATGTTCATAAAATTGTGGCTGTTTTATAGATTTCTGCAGTCCCCATTGTTCTGTGTGTAATCTTTCAGTAAATATTTCTTTTTTTCTCCTCTATGTCCATGTACGATTTGCTGAAGAATCAGAATATCAGAATATCATGTCAAAGCAAATAGCTAATGTGACCTTAAAGAGTAGTGTGGGTAATGGGAGGTACTGGATTTCTCAGCTACTGCCAAATGCTTTATGGCTATGGAAATATACTGGGTTCATATCTCCTTGAAGCTAACATTTGGTATGACTGAGGGAAAGATAAGTGACAACTCTACAAAGTTTTAGAGCTCTGTGTATAAGGTGGCTGCACATTAACTGCTTACTTAACTTCAGCCTTTCTGTCTTGCTGGTTTGGAGATTACTTGGCTTATGTCAGAATGCTCTGTGTTTTAAGATGACATTTTAAACCCTTCCTTCACTGCCTTTCTTTCCCTTAATGTGCCAAGCTTGAAATAGGATTTGATTTCCTGAGCTACTTGTCTGCTTTCTACGTGCCACCAAGAAATCTAGTTCATCTTTCATCTCATTCAGTTCTTTTGAAACAAGATACTTTGGGGGTCAAGTCTTTTCAGGTGTTTTATATATATATATATATATATAAAAAGGATTTTTTGTCCTTTCTGTGTAAGTAGCAATTCACAATCATAATGTATAAAAGAAATAAAAGCCTGATGTATTGTACTTCAAAATGCTTCCCCAATGTACAGAATCTCCTTGTAAAATAAATAATTGCATTGTATATCAGTCTTCCTACCAACATTAATTATTAAAGTATTTTAGAATTTTAAAAAATTATACCATTCTGATATGAAGTGTTTATTTTATGTTCTACTTATTCCATTTAAGCCAGCTTAAAAATGATACCTAAAATACTGCTAGACACCCTCATCGAGAAGTAGATGGGGAGGAAGGGGAGTAATAGTAAGAACATTAAGAGTAGCCAGAGATGAAGGTCAGTCATGTTTGTGAATGTCTGTGCACACATGTGGAAAAATAATAGGCTGCACAGAGGAAAGCCAACTGTGAACCCCATAGTATGTACCAGGTACTGCACTCGGTCCTTAATCCTATTTATCCCACCCCGTAGTCTGGGAGGTAAGTAGAAATATACTCATTTTACCAGTGAAGAACCTAAGAGGTGAAGTTGCTTCCCCAAGGTCAAAGCAAATTATGTAATCAGTTTGCATATTTTTAAGGACAAGCAGTTGCATCTCAATAATCCCTACGAGGATTACTCTGTATGGACCACACATAATTAGACCTCGGGCTGACATCACAGTAAGACAGTTCATACTTCATACACTCTTCTCTGGCTAGCAGCCCAGTTTCATTCAAGGTGGCCTCACCAGTGACTCACTTTCTACTTGTCACTTGATTAGTGCACCACCCTTTACCAAGGGTTTAAAAAAAACATGAGTCAGAACTCATGTCACTGGGTTCCACTTGCTCCCAGATTTTCCTTCTACTAGTCCTCCAAAGAGACCTCAAATTGCCATTAGCCTTTTGAGATTAAGCATTGTCTCCAAAAGGGTGTTTTGCAGGTGTACATTGCCCAGTGTTGGCTGAAACAGTGAATGAGTTTAGGGTTCTTACGGAGAGGGAGGACTGTAGTAGAGTGAGAGGTTTGAAAAACCACTATCAAAAAGGGGAAGTCCAATGGATATTAAGTGGGAGGGGATGGGATAGGAAGTATACTTATAAAAGCTGAGAGTGTGCTACAAAGAAAAGCCAGTCCTGAAACCAAAATAGCCAATCTTTTCAATTCCAGCTCCAGGAGGCCTGAAGGTAAAAACAGGAACCACCACCAACCTGGACCACTTGCTCCATCCGTCTCTTGTGGATACCATTACTTTCTTCCCCCAAGAATTTTTGCTTCCTTCATAAAACAGAGGTCATCCGACAGGAGCAAGCACCCACAATGTCCCTCCATCTGGTACTGAGGAGACACACACACCATTTATGTATTCATTCATTCGTTTAATTTTATCTCCTTCCTACACACCCCCCCCACCCAAAATCTTCCTTTGACCCTATTTTCTCTTCAACTTATTTAAACTTCTGTACAGTCCAAGCAGCTGAGCTAAATGAGTGACAAGTGGAGAACAAAGGCCTGATGGGAGATGTAAACTGAACAGTCTTCTTGACATAGGTTCTGACCTCTGGTCTGTATGCACTGTTTTCCATTTCTAAAGCTATGTTCACTCAACTTGTTAAAATCTAAACTAAATCTAAAATAAAAATGGCTTTCCCTGAGGTCACCAATGACTTCTCAGTTTATTGCCACATCAAAAGCCTTTTTCCAGCTCTTAATATATTTGACTACTCTGCAATATTTTATGTTTTGGACCATGTCCTTGTCCTCAAAACTTCTTCCTTGGCTTCTCAGACACCAATGTCTCCTGATTCTCCTCCAATCATGTCTTCTCTGTCCTGCTGGCTTCTTCCCTGACCACCATTTAAATCAGGGGTTTTCGTGTCCTCTCATCACTCTCCCTGCTTTCCCAAGGTGACTTCAGGCATCATCACTCTTATTCTGATAATTTTGAAATCTTTATCTACAACTCGGGTTTCTTGCTGGAGTCCAACCCTATATCCAATTGCCCTTTGAAGATTTATACACACACACACACACACACACACACACACACACACACACACACACA